TCTAGGCGTGATGTACTGCCGGTCTATCGCGAACGCTGTTTGAAGACTTCTGAGTACGCCTCTCCGCGCAGTCGCCCCTCGAAAGCTGCTGGTTGGAGGTGAGCTTGTCCGGTGCACCTGTTTACCTATTGACGGGCAGGGCCGTAAGGCATCTGAGAGACTCCTCCTCGCCTTGGTCTCTCACTGACTTGGATGCCAAATTGGAAGTTTCATCGCCTATAGAAGGGGAATTTGCAAGAGATGGTCTTCCACTGAGCAGAAATGAGGATGAGCGTGTCAGAGTAAGTCGAGAGGCTGAAGTGAGCTCAAGGTTACTCTGATGATTTTTTCGTTGAAAACGAGGAAGGAGAGCATCGATAGCTGTCATGTCGGGGCGTGGCTGGTTGAGAGTTAGCAAGTTTCGGCAAGTGCTTTCCATTACCCTAGCTGATGCCGAGGGTACTCTTTTTGTACTCCATCAAGACTCAGCGTTCCAAGCGGCTCTCCGTGCGTCGCACACCCGACTGATCTTTGAAAGTGTTCTCGTCGTGGAATAATAGTATTCGACGTGGCCATCGCAACTGGTCTTGCCTCGAGATACTTTTCCCTCCTGGATCAACCATTGCTGACCTGCGTCAGGCCAAGCATGATGGACCGTTGTAAGACCTGGGTTGTTCATACTTTCACTCGAAAAGATGAAACTAACGGTCGAGATCTCCTCAATTACCACGCTTCGCGTCCTAATAGGTCTTATACGAACCCTGTCCCCGTTCAGGCAGACTATATCGTCACCTTCTCGATGTCGGTTGGCATCTCGCCGTAGTTTCCGGCACGCCTCAAAGTGCAAGAAGCTGCTGTTGAAGTCGCAGATCCTTCCGGACCACAGCCAGCCGTATGTGCTCTACTCGTCGTTTCCATGTGATGGCTAGCATGGGTCCTCTACAGGTACTCTATGCGAGCCTATGCTAGCGACTTTATTCCCCTTTGCATGCTGAGGGATGGCAGGGGAGGCACACGGCCGACCATGCCGGTTGGCGAGGATTCTCTAAAGTTCTATCTTACCTTGCGGAATCCGAGATCGGAACCGATCGAAGTGTGTAGAGCTTTAGAAATTGACGTATTCACTTGTAATTGAATATCTCTGTGGGATGGTAACACCCTTTGGCGCCCTCTTGAAGCGTCCAGAGAAATCTGTTGCGTCCTCATGAGAACTAATCGGTATTGTGACTGATACCGAGTGTTTATGGTGTAGTTGGTCATTAGACTGGCTTTCGCATAACAGCGGTACTGTCATGGTCATGAGCTTGAACCTGAGGAGCGCACATATCCTGAGTGTTTTCTCTTAGGTTAAATTTGACACGAAATTGAATGACGACTTCCTTGAGAAACTCGTGCCTCCCTGTCACTCCAATTGGCCCGGCGAGGTCGCCCAACACGAAGCGAGGTACTTCTGCCCTTCTCATTATTCAACAAGTTCACAATATTCGAGTCGGGGAGATTCTCTCCTTGAGGAGCCTTTTTTTCTGAGTATCATTGCTATTCTGGCTTGCTATACGTACAACCTGGTACACCAGGCTGGCTCGTTATCATAGCAATTCCGACACCCACAGGCACGCAGAGGTTCTTCCCAATATGCGTTTCGTGACTGAGCCATTTGTCATCGTTGTTGGAGGCTCAGACATTGACATTTCTGAGAGTGAGGTAGTCAGGAAATATGCTGAAAGAGGATTCAATAATGTATATTCTTTCCCTCAGATGGTGACTCGGGATTCACCCCCAGAGCTCGTGCAGTCTCAACGCCATCGAGCCGCTGTTAAATTGGTAGCGTTGCATTTCTCTTTCCTACTTTCGGCGAAGGGATGGACTCATGGCAAGTTCAGTGACATCTGATGCTTCAGACCGTCCAGAAGGCCCAAAGACCGTCCGCCTTGTCCGCCGATAGTATCAAATCGCCCCTCTGTGAAGGACTCAGTCGAGTGACGTTGAAACCGCACTCGCCAGATATCAAGTGATCATAACACTCGGAAAGAATGCACACAATCCGTCAATATTTCTGTATTGTTCCCTAAAAGTAATCTCCTTTACAGATTCTGGCAAGTTCTCCTACGATTGCACATAAGTGCTACTTCACCCGACCCTGAAGATAGAGCAATGGAACTTTTACTGAGAATTAGATTAGGAGAAATTGATCATGCTCAGATTAGTTGAATTTGTTTCTCTACATGAACTGTTGTTATTTCAGTTGGTCTCTATCTATCCATTTACTCGCATCTCGGGAGAGTTACCGAACCGTTAATAGCATAAAATCACTCAACATAACAAAACTCATCTGGGGATGAAACTAGTAACACTTCGGAAACCTATAATGGGCACCTGGTAAATCGTCAAGTGAAGGATAACTACTCGGCTCGACATTGAGAGGCCATAGTATGGTAGTTGTTGCAGTTAGAGAAACCCATCTCCTTCGAGAAATCATCGCCATAAGCACAACGGGCCCACTCCCAATCATTGAGGGCATAAAGAGTTCCATCGATATCATAAAGATGGTTAAACTGTTCCTGGGTCAAAATACCATCAGTAACAGTTCGCTCCCGGAGCGTATTGAGAGTGTTCCAAATATATTCAATACCTCCCTTAGAATCGGGATAAACTGCTGTGTCAAAAGCACACATAGAAAGCTTGTGGCAGTATTTGCCAACTGTGCAGGAACCCTCCAACATGATGGTGATCTTGGCCTTCAAGTTCTCCCATCCTGGTTGAGTACACACCGCACACTGTTCAGTCATCATATAATTCATACGATAAACAAGATCGTCCGCATAATCTCCATCAATAGCATTACGATAGAGCATCATCGTAGCATGATCGGCGTACTGCATAATATATTGAGTACCCAGAGTATTCTTCTGACCCTCGATGGCGAAATCAATAAGCAACGAACCAGGAGCATATCCCATCTTGTCGGTAACATCGTCCTTCATTTGCTGAGCCTGCAGCAAAGTCTCCTTAATGTCTTCGGGTTGCATGTGCTCCGTATCGAAACTCAGACCGATAGGCGCGATCACAGCCATGTCCTCTGCCGTAACCGAGTCTTCTAAGAACTTCCGGAAAGTATCCACGAAAGCAATCATTCTTTTGCCATTATGCTTCTCGATGTCACCGTACGTCAAGAAGATACGCTGGTCATTACCGGTTCTCTCACGCCACTGCTTCATCCAAGGAACAAGGCGATCTTGATTGTGAATCCGGTCATAGTTGGTCACATCAGCAACGTTCACATAAACATCACCAGCATTCCACAACTTGCCCATATCAGAAGCACCGAAGTTCACGAGAGTCTCGTCGTCACCCCTCCAGTAGTTTTGAGACCAAGTATACGTTGAGAAGCGTTTTTCAGAACTCGACGGGATTGTAGGAGATGCAGTAGTAGATTCAGTAGTCGTGACAGTTGTTGTCGTAGGGATAGTTGCTGTCGTGACAGGGGCAATAGTTGTGACATTTGTTGTCGTAGTAGGAGCAATAGTCGTAGCAGTTACAATCGTGGTAGGAACAGTAGCCACCGCAGTTGTTGTTATTGTAAGAGATGAACTAGTCGAAGTGGACGTAGTTGATAGTTGGATTGTCGTTGACCGTAAGTTAGTCGATGTCATTGGTGCTTTCGTTGTAATGACATCGCCACTTGAGCTAGGCGTATTGTGGCTGGTAGTCGATGTCGGTATCCCCGCACTGGTGCTGTGATTAGGCTGAGCATCGCAGGAACATAGTAAATTGCTGCCCGAACACACTGGGGGATTCTGCCAATATTTGCAGTAAGAGCCACCTTGAACCGCTGCACAAGCTTCGTCACCCCGATGACAATCTTCACCAACAACAGTACCCACCATACAGACGATGGCCACGTAAGGTATCAATAAACGATTCATGTTAGAAGAGCAGATATGACGAGCAACTTGTTGATAGATATATCAGACTGAGATAGATAGATAGCTGCTTGAAGAAGCTATCGCTCATCGATTTTTTGTGTCTCATCACAAAGCCCTGTCTTTCATTGTGTCCATCGGTTCCGTGAAGATGGAGTTGGTCGAACTCAGCCTGTGGATATTCTGTAATCTCACGTATCTCCCATAGCATATACCATCCGGGGTTTCGGATCGTGTGGCAAACAGTGATTGTGATCCTACATCGTTTTGCTCGTAGACTATCAGTTCATGACTCTGAAAGCCTTTAAAAAACTGTGGGACTCGTGATTTATTCTGATGCTCTCGAGGAACTGCCTCGAGGAGCTGAGCATACAATTGAACATTCCGGGCGTCCGTACACTCATGTAGCTATTTGGGCCTCCCAAACGAGCTCCTACGCTCCCGTCTTATACTTCGTTAAGTCTTTCCGACTTGCTTATAGGAGGGAGTCGCCGCTCAGTGTTGGCCCCTGTCACGACGCCATCGCGAAGTCTCATTCAGAGATTATTAACGCCAGCGGGGATAAGATAGCTGTCTCACACACCGATTCAACGCCAGTAAGCAGCCTGTAACACATGTTATGATTGAGTCACTGAGGCCTTCGAGCGACGTTCATTTCTTTATGTGCGCTGATAGACTTCGCGCTAGTTTGTTCATTGCTGAAATGCATCCGGGAGCGCATACCTGATCTTCAGTGCAGGAAGCCAGTTCCTGATTTGGTTGGACTGTGAGAATACATGATAAAAATTATTTACCTGTCGACCTCCGGGATTAGTCAACTGACTTTGACGTTTGAGTGACATCTCGAAAATTTGAA